TGGCATTTGTGGCAAACATTAATGGCATTTGTGGCAAACATTAATGGCATTTGTGGCAAAGATTAATGGCATTTGTGGCAAACATTAATGGCATTTGTGGCAAACATTAATGGCATTTGTGGCAAACAGTTAATGGCATTTGTGGCAAAGAGTTAATGGCATTTGTGGCAAACATTAATGGCATTTGTGGCAAAACTGTTAAGACTGAGCATGGCAGCAGCACAGTGTGGGGTTTGTGGGGCGCCAGTCTAGAAGCCCTCTATGCATTAATAAATGCCATTTTAATTACTTTTTTCTCTAACATTGAAGCCCTCTATGCATTAATAAATGCCATTTTAATTACTTTTTTCTTTAACATTGGAGCCCTCTATGCATTAATAAATGCCATTTTAATTACTTTTTTCTCTAACATTGGAGCACTCTATGCATTAATAAATGCCATTTTAATTACTTTTGGCTTTAAAGCAATAAATCTTTTAAAGGACTTTGAAAAATTAATGGAATTAATGCTGCGGCTTCTTCTCAGTGTAAGGCAATCTTTGCCTTTATTATAATTAGCCCCAGCTTTCCCCTTCAGCTATTTTAATGCATTTTCAATCAGCTTTAAATAAATCCAAAATGCAAAATAGATAAGACTGAGTAAATAAATAAGTTCAAACAAATAAATAAATAAAACTCAAATGCTCCAACTACTTTAAGACTAAGTAAATAAATAAGTTCAAATAAATAAATAAATAAATAAATAAATAAATAAATAAATATAACTCAAATGCCCCAACAACTTTGGCCCACATGGTCTGAAGGGGCTGCAGCATTTTAAAAACTTGTGGCAGCAGAATTTGTCTTGTGGACTTTTTGAAAAGTCCACAAGACTTTGAGTCTTGTGGACTCAAAGTCTTGTGTCAAAAGTGGCATATTTGCAAATAGGAAGTATTATATTATTATAAAAAAGAATAATTTAAGTATTATATTATTATAAAAAGGAATAATTTGAGTATTATATTATTATAAAGAAGAATAATTTAAGTATTATATTATTATAAAAAAGAATAATTTGAGTATTATATTATTATAAAGAAGAATAATTTAAGTATTATATTATTATAAAAAAGAATAATTTAAGTATTATATTATTATAAAAAAGAATAATTTGCTGGATATCCTCTGATTTAGTGGTTAGCAAATATTCGCTGATTTGGTGGTTTGCAGCTGTAGCGAGTCTGTTTGATTGGAAAGAACTTTGCCACCAACTTTTTTAAATTCTAAAAGATTCAGAAAGTCTTTTATTTTAAAAATAAATAATAAATGTTTAATTCCGAGACATTAGTGAGTGGAAACTGCTCAAAAAAAGCCCCAAGGCCTGCTGGCTGGGGTGTCTGTACAGTCCGCTGTTTGGCCGCAGCTGTACATACACCGCAGCGCAGGGGGCACAAAAGCACTTTTTGAAGACAAAAAAAGAATTAATTTTCTAAATTCCAATTAATTTTCTCAAAATAATAACAATTAATTGTCTAATTTGCAATTAATTCCCTCAAAATAATAATAATTAATTGTGAATTTGCAATTAATTTCCAAAAAATGCCGAAGACCCCCTGTGGGCTCCAGCAGAATTTTCTCAAGTTCAAATCTTTAGAAGTTGGCACTCCAGATGTTGGGACTTTAAAAATTTCATTATTTCTTTTTTGTTAAATATCTTTTTTTGAAATTTAATTATTTCTTTTTTGTTAAATATCTTTTTTTGAAATTTAATTATTTCTTTTTTTGTTATATATCTTTTTTTTGAAATTTAATTATTTCTTTTTTGTTAAATATCTTTTTTTTGGTAAATACTTGCGGAGTCTTATGCTGCACTAGACAGTTACAAATAAAAAAAAGTTATTTAATTTGAGCAGTTTTTGCATTAATTGAAACTCCGCAACTTTTGACAGATCTTTCATTTCTCAACTCGGTCAAATTTTTAAAATTATTATTATCATTACAATTATTATTATCATTATTAACATCATTATTACTACTATCATTATCACTATTATTATTATTATTACTATTATTATCATTACAATTATTATTGTTATCATTATTAACATCATTATAAGTACTATTATTATTATCATTATTATTATTATTATTATCATTATTATTATTATTATTATTGTTTATTTGTCCAGGCAAGAAAGCTGCAAGAAACTGCACTGGCTAGCTGCCGGCCAGCAGCCTGCAAGAAGAACTTAAAAAGCTAGTTGTGGTTTTTCAAATTAAAGTTTTGAAAAGATTAAAAGTGCAAACTTTAAACAACTGCAGCAGCAAAACTCTTGGGAATTTGCTGCAGCAGCAAAACTATGGAATTTGCTGCAGCAGCAAAACTATGGAATTTGCTGCAGTTCTGGCTGGGCAGTTTTGCTGCTGCTGCTTCGAAAGACAATGCTAGGAGGGTGCTGGGGTGTCTGTACAGCGCAGCTGGGGCTGCTGCAGCGAAGGCGCAGCAGAAAAGAACAGAGAGCAGCAGCAGCAGCAGCAGCAGCGCCGCTGCAACTGCAGCAGCAGCTGCTGCTGCTGCTGCTGCTGCTGCTGCTGCCCCTCAAACTAACCCCACAAAACTCTCTCAGCTCTGTCTCCTAATGGCCTTCAACTCTTCCAAAATATATTCCCTCAAGCAGCAGTTCTAAAGAGGGGGGCCCCCCGAGCAGCACACAGGCTGTACCCTTTTGGCCTGCAGCGGCAGGGGGGGTAGGGGGGCCCCCGGAGCCTCAAGGGGCCCCCGGGGGCCCCCTTTGGACTCTTAAAAGCCCCAGAGTTTGTTATAAAAAGTATTTTAAAAAGAAGTCCATTAAATGGACTAAGTTTAAGAGATCTGGCGGGCCACTGGCAGGCCGTGTGGCGCTAGCCGCTCCCCCGAGGCTCCCGCGGCGGGCTGGGGGCTCACTGCACCGCGCTGGGATAAAGGCATTTCATTTTGGAATTAAATAAAGAAATTAAATTAATTAAATTGAATTAAAAAGACTAACAGCAGCAGCAGCGGGGCAGCAGACAGGGGAGCCGGCGGTGGAGGCTGCACAGGGGGGCTCGAAGGGCGCGTTTGGGGGGTTGGCGCGGCGGAAAAAGGCTCAAAAGACTCCTTTTAAGATTTAAATGGCAAATAAAATAAATAAATAAATAATAAATGCAAAAATAAAGAAAAAAGAGCAGAGAGAGCCCGCGGGGGGTCCCGGAGCACACTGTCTACGCAGCAGCGCAGCGCGGCTGCTGCAGAACCCTCCGCGCAGCAAAAGGCATGGCTCTGGGGCGCCCCGCTTGCGGCGGAGGCTTTGGGGCGTTTTAAAAGAATAAATTTGAAGTTTAAATTAAAAAAAAATAAAAAAAATAAAAAGGATTTAACAGACAGGGCCTGGGAAGGCAGGGGCGGGCAGCAGCGGCAGCAGCAGCCTCACTTGCTCTCCCATGTGCCCGTAGCTGCAGCAGCAGCAGCAGCAGCAGCAGCAGCAGCAGATGGGGCCTCAGGCTTTCTGTTGGGATTTGCTTGCAGAGATCTGCTGCTAGTTGGTCTTTTTATCTTTTCTTTTGCGTTTTCTAATTGGATCTCGAGGAGAAGAGCTTCGAGCCGGGCTGCCGGGCCGGCGCGCTGCTGCTGCTGCTGCTGCTGCTGTTGCTGCGAGGCGCGTCAAGAGCAGCAGCAGCAGCAGCAGCAGCCCTCGCGGCCGTGCCTGCCGCCGCTTCTCGCCCGAGGCCTGCAGCAGCAGCAGCAGCAGCAGCAGCAGCTCTGGGCTCTTGTCTTTCAGATTTTGCAGCTTCTTGCTGCGCCCTTTGCCCCTGCCCCCGCACTGGAGCAGCAGCAGCAGCAGCAGCAGCAGCAGCGCAGCGCCGCAGCCTTCCAGGCCAATCTGTGTCTCCATTTATTTCTGTCTTTTTGCTGCTTTCCCTTTTGCAGTGTCGCCTTTCTGCTGCTGCTTCTCTGCCCAGCAGCAGCAGCAGCGCCAACTCCCCACCCGCACCAGCAGCAGCAGCAGCAGCAGCAGCAGCAGCAGCAGCAGCAGCAGCACCGCACCTGCCCCCGCCGTGGCCCCTGCGTTCTGCAGCCTCTGACTGAGCCTTCCCAGGCCCTGCCCCCTCTGCGCCTCCCGCAGCTTTCCTGCTGCTGCTCTCCTGCCGCTGCTGCTGCTGCTGCTGCTGCTGCTGCTGCTGCTGCTGCTGCTGCTCAATGGGAAAGTCCGAGCTGCCGCTGCCGCCCCTCTCGGGCTTCCCCTCGCTGGGCGACGGCAGCAGCAGCCCAGTGGCCCCGCCAGTGCCTGCGGGGGCTTGGGGTTTGCGTGCTGCAGCAGCAAAGATAGCAGCAGCAAGGGGGCCCCCCAAGGACTCGGAGGGGGCCCCCCCTGCTGCTCCAGCAGCAGCAGCAGCAGCTGCTGCTGCTGCTGCTGCAGAGACCCTTAAACCCGCAGAGGGCCCCTCGCAGGACCCTCAGCCCCCGCCTCCCGCGCCCCCCTCTTCTCCCAAGCCCCCTGAAGAGCCCTCACCGACAGCAGCAGCAGCACCAGCAGCAGCAGCAGCAGCAGCAGCAGCAGCAGCAGCAGCAGGAGCGGAAGCATCAGCAGCAGCAGCAGCAGATGCGGATGCCGCTGAGCCGTGCGGCTCTGCTGCGGACTCGAGCGAAGACAGCAAGGCGGCCGCAGCTCCGCCGTCTCCCACGGCGACGAGCAGCACGAGCAGCAGCAGCAGCAGCACGAGCAGCAGCAGCAGCACGAGCAGCAGCAGCAGCAGCAGCAGCAGCAGCAGCAGCAGCGGGGAGCCCCCCGCGTCGCCTTTGCCTGGGTCCTCCTGGTGCCCCGAGCTGCCGCCCAGCGCCGCGAGCAGCAGCGACCCCCCCCCCACG